CCTCCTCCTCCTCCTCCTCCTCCTCCTCCTCCTCCTCCTCCTCCTCCTGGAGGAGGAGGAGGAGGAGGAGGAGGAGGAGGAGGAGGTGGAGGAGGAGGAGGAGGAGGAGGTGCTGGGGGCAGCGCCGGAGGCGCTGCCAGGGGGCCCAGGCGCGGATCCAAGAAATCCGCGCGGAGCGCCAAAAGTTGATGTTGATGCGGTTTTTCTTCTTCGATCCATCCCAGAAGGAAAAAGACGGCGTGAACATACACGTGCGAAGCTCCGCGCGGCAGATCGGCGCTGGGGCCCTCCTCGAAACTCGGGCTTCGAGCCTCGATCCTCGTCTCTCCTGCAGCCCTGGCTCTCCTCTAACCTTCGGTCGGGCGTGTCCTCCTACAGGCGGATTTTGGACGAGAAATAAAAAAATAGTCAAACAATAATCAAGAAATGCTCAACAATAGTGAAAAAATCGTCCCCTGACTGTGTCTTGACACTTGTTGAATATTCCGCCTGTGGAGGGACACGCCCGCCTGAACTCTAACCTCGAGCGCCGAGCCTCGAGTCCCTCGTCCCTGCCGACGGCCCCGAGCGCGCGGCAGGCTGTAGAGCTGGTGCCGGTGCCGCAGCTCTGGGTCCTGGAGGGTGCAGGTCCTGCCGGCGCGCCGGGGCCACGGCAGGATCAGTCCGCATCGAATCGGAAAGCGGGATCGAGAAGGAGCGTGCGTCGGGTCGGCCAGCATCGGCACGAAACCCACAAGCGAACCAGACCCGCGGCGCGAGGAGGCATCACGGCGTCGGGCCGCATCGGGTCGTCGGGCAAGCGGCATCGAATCCGAAGCGGACCGGGCCAGCCGGCATCGAATCCGATAGAGACAGGGGCCCTGCGGCGGGCGCCGGCCCCGCCGCGGCCCCGCCAGGGAGGAAGGTCATGAGACCATCGCGGGCCGAGCCAGCTCGGATCACGCCGCAGCAGATGTCGGGCGGGAGGTACAGTCAGGGTCCTGAAGAAGGAACCCTTTTCGTTGGGGAGGGGCTCCGCGTTCCTTAAGTGTTTCACAGCTTGCCTCAGGCTTTCCTTCTGTTTTCGACATGAAATCGAAGGTTAACTTATGGAAAAAAGGGGCCTTGTTCCTCATTTAGGGTTCCTTAGGTCAACGCCCCGACTGTAAATGGGGGTGGCCCAAATGGGGGGCGAAGAGAGAGAGGCCCTAGAAAGGGGCGGAGCCAGTTGGTGCCCAAAAGGGGACCTACAGGGCCCCTCCGGGCCCTTCTCTTCACCCTCCCATGTGGGTCACCCCCCATGACCACCCGCCCGAGAGACTGGGCCGGGGGCTCCGGCCGCCAATCTTCGCGCCGCTGCATGTCATCGCGCCGGTCGGATCTCAAGAAGAGGGGCGGCAAGGCCTGGCCCCAAAGGCACGGCCCGAGGGGGGCGGCCCCCCGAGAGGGAGGGTGCATGCAGACATCCTCCCTCTGCGCTTGCGGGCAGCGGGGACGACGGCCTGGCCGAAGCTCCGCCCGGGAGGGGGGGAGGGGGGGGGGGAGAGAAGCCCTGTGCTCCGTCGTCGGCTTGCTCCTGGACGAGGAGCAAGCCAACGACGGAGAACAGGGAACAGGGAGCAAAGAACAAGGAACAAGGAGAAAGGGAAGGGGAAACAGGGAACCGGGAATAGCGAACACGGAATGGCAAGCCGAAGATGGAGAACGGAGAACAAGGACAGGGGGAAAGGGAACAAAAAGTCCTTGTTCCCTTTCTCCATTTCCGCAGGAACACTCAGCATCGACTCGGGAAGTCGGATCGGATCGGAGCGTCTCGAATCGGACCGCACCGGCTCGGCATCGGAGTCGAATCGCATCGGCGGCGCCAGGACGCAAAACGGCGCCATGCAAGCATCGGGGGCGGCCAGGAGGGGGGCGTCCAAGAGGGGGGGGCACAAATCATGGCCGGCGGCACGTGCGCGGCCCAGGGGGTGGGGCAGGAACGTGATGGAACAAGAAGAGGCGCCATGAAATCTGAGGACAGATCATGGACCTCGCCGTGATATCCACCCCCCCCTAGTCATCACCCCCCTCTTTGCCGCCACCGACAGCATCGGGCCGCATCGGATATCGCACGAGCGCCGGCATCGAGTCACATCGAGCACCGCCCCGAGCCGATCTCGAAGCGGACCGATATCGGGCCGACAGGGGCCCCGCCTCTCGCGGGAGCGGCGAGAATTCTGGCATCTTGCTCTTGCAGAACCCGACGACGTGCAGCAACCACGCTGCGAGAACTGCAGTGGCTCAGGATGCGGTGGAGAGAGCGCGATCCACCGCCGCTTTACCGTGGAAAATTCCCCCCCCCCGCCCCCCGAGGGCTCCCCGGGTGCTCCCGGGTGCCACTGCGCGCGGGAGAGCGCGGCCTGGGCGGCGCTCGCTGCCCGCACGGCGGCGGGGGGGCCCGGACCGTCCCGAAGGCTGCCCGTGGGTACAAAATCCCCGAGACATCCTGGCGTTGCAGCTTTGTCATACCGTGGGCGCTGTCGCCCAACGTCGGGCCCTGGGGCCCTCACAGAGCGATCTGGGTCGACACGTGGCGCAGAAAGGTGGGGTCGAGGGGCTCCGGTCGCAAGCTTTCGCAACGTCGGATCTCAGGGATCCTTGCCTCCGAGGCCCGGGTGTTTTATCCATACCCTGCTGCACCTGGCGCCCTGGAGTGGGGGGGGGGGGCATCAGCAGGGGTCATGGATCGGACGTCGGCCGCTGCGGCATGGCTCCTTCACCACGTGGACCCCAAGGGTCTCGGTCCAGCCCTTGGGAGCGGCTTTGTATCCTGCTCCGTTCTGTTAGCGGTCCCAGGGCCTGGGAAGGGCTCCCAGGAGGCTGACAAAAATAGTGAAAATGGTCGTGATTTACTCCTGTCTCGAGGGGGTCTGGGTCCCGGGCATCCGGCGCGGCGCAGCGACTTGTTGCCATCCGGTGCCGCAGCCCCGGGTCCTGGAGGGTGCAGGTCCGGCCCGCTTGCGCGCCACAAGCGCCAGCCCCGCCACGGCTCCGCCAAGGGGGAGGGCCCCAAAGTGGCCCGTGAAGACTCCAAGACGGCCTCGAAGCAGCCCAAGAGGGCCCCCTATAGGGCGGCCATAAAAGAGCCCGAGCTGGCCCAAGAGGGCCTCTGGAGGGACCCGAGACGGGCACAAGGACGCCCGATGACAGCCCCACCGCCGGAGGGCAGAGGATAGGACCGGCGATGTTTTGCAATTCGTTGCGCCTGAATTATATACATATACGACCATCCTTCGGGTGATGAGGAGGTTGGGGGGAAGGGAAAGAACCAACTGAGTGTCTTGGGATATGTCACGTGCTTTCGCGTTCCTCGCCTTTTCGAGCCTCCGTCCGCTGTAGACGGCGCCGGAAGAAGATGGCCTCAACACGGCCCCCGTGAGCCTCCAAGAGGGCCCCAAGACTGGCCAATGAGGGCCACACGGCAGCTCAAGAGGCCCCCCGGACGGCCCAAGAGACCTCCCAAGACGGTCCGAAAGCGTCCCAAGAGGGTCCCAAAACGGCAGAGTGAGGCCCTCAAGACGGCCGCCGAAGACCAAGCGGCTCCTGTTAGGCCCCCAAGAAGCTCCAGAGTCCCCCGAGAGCTCCCAAGAGGTCCCCACGGAGCCCTCAGGAGGCCCTGCGAGGCCCACAGGGGGCCTCGTCTTCCTCCTCCGCCTCCTCATCCTCTTCCCCATCCTCCTCCTGCTCCTCCTCTTCTCGCTCCTCATCTCTTTCTGCCCCAAGTGCTCCCCGAAGGGTTTCCACGATGGCTCGGAGAAAGCACTGGCCATCGCTCGGACGTCCATTCCCTGAGTTTTGTGTTCGGTATCGTGCGTGGTTTTTTCGCCGACTGATCAAGGATGCTCCTCGATGGTCCTCGCCGAAGGAAAAATGCACACGTCCGAACGATGTCAAGAGCATTGCCCAATAGCTTAACAGGCTTCGGCCCAACGTCCGGCCACATAGGCATTTCAACAAGGCAAGTGCGCCGTGGGCGTCTTGGATATATCCCATGTTGAAGCAGCTGGAACTCAGCGGGCCCTGGAAACGACAGGGCCGTTTTTTTTACCAGTTCCGTTCTGCCGTTTGTTTGACGGTTCCGACGCCGTTTTTGTAACGGTTCCGTCGCCGTTTTTGGACCAGTTCCGGCTCCGGTTCCAGTCCTGGAGCTGTTTTTTGCCGTTTCCGGTCGCCGTTTTTTTGCCGTTTCCATTTTCAAGGGACATTTTTGTGGAAACGGTGAAAAAACGGCCCTGCCGTTTCCAGGGCTCCCTGAGAGCTGGAACACACAACGACGTCTTTTATGTCAATTCAGTTGATGAGAACTTGGAACACGGAGCGCGGGCTTTCCAATCAAACGCAGTTGTCAAAGGCACCCAGAACCCCATCCGCGTTAAGACACACAAGAGGTCTACGGTGAGGGCACTGGGTAAGGAGTCAGGAGCTTTGTGGGCCCCGGAAACGGCAGGGCAGTTTTTCACTGTTTCCAAAGACATGCCCCTTGAAAATGGAAGCGGCAAAAAAACGGCGACCAGAAACGGCAAAAAAAACGGCTCCATGAATGGAACCGGAGCCGGAACCGGTCCAAAAACGGCGACGGAACCGGTACAAAAACGGCGTCGGAACCGGCAAAAAAAACGGCAGAACGGAACCGGTAAAAAAACGGCCCTGTCGTTTCCAGGGCCCACTAAAGTCAGGAGCCCTTAGGTAAGGAATCCAGGGCCTGGGAGCCGGGATAATACCAAGTGAGGTTTGGCCATGGACATCGCCACCGCTCCCATCAGAGAAGGTGTCCTCCAGGGCCTGAGGCCTCCTGGGCACATTTCTTCACGAACGCCCCAGCCATAGAAGAGAAATAAGAAGAAGAAGAAGAAGAAGAAGAAGAAGAAGAAGAAGGAGAAGAAGAAGAAGAAGAAGAAGAATACGAATAATAATAACAAAAAAACGCTGCAAACATAAACTGTTGGCGCTCCGCGCGCCAGGGGCGGCGCTGCAAGCGCCGCCCGGGGGGGCCCAGCGCGGACCCAAGAAACCCGCGCAGAGCGCCAAACATTTATGTTTAAGGCGCTTCTTTCTTCTTCGACTAGAGGCCTCCTGGATGGGGTCAGAGTAGATGGGGTCGGAGGATCTCGCCGCATCGCCGATACATCAGCGATGCATCGGCCATGCACTGGGGGCGTCAGCGATGCATCCGCGACGTCGGCGTGGAGAAAAACGGGCCCCACATCGAGCCGCATCGCCGATGCATCGCCGATGCATCGCCGATGCGGCGCGATCCTTCGACCCCGTCGACTCCGACCCCATCTAGGAGGCCTAGATCGACACAGGGCAGCCCCTCCCGCGCGGGCCTGCTCAGGCGCGAGCCGTGCTTCAGGACCTCCACGATGCCGAGCCGGTCGGGGAAGTGCGCGTGCCCGCGGCAGGCCGCCTCGGCGGGTCCGCTCAAGGGGGCGCGCTGGCACCCGCCGCCCCCGCGCAGGCCCCCAGCGCCCCTGCTCCTGCTCCTGCTCCTGCTCCTGCTCCTGCTCCTCCTCCTCCTCCTGCCCCTCCTCCTCCTCCTCCTCCTCCTCCTCCTCCTCCTCCTCCTCCTCCTCCTCCTCCTCCCGGCGCGAGATCTTCTGAGGTTTGCGCAGAATCCAGTCCAGGTCGCCCAGGGTCGCGCATCGCGCACCGCGATGCGCGCGGTGCTCTTCGAGCCCCCGCGAGGCCGCCCCAGAGAGGGGCGCCTCTCTGACCCAGGCCGCGGCGCGCACAGCGCGATCATCCTCGCGCCCCCAAGGGGTGACGACGTCATCGTGTGGAACTTCTCTGAGCGTGCAGCTAAAACGTGCTCGTAGCCACGGCTGGGCGCGGCTCGCCAAAGAGGAGGAGGAGGAGGAGGAGGAGGAGGAGGAGGAGGAGGAGGAGGGAGAGGAGAGGAGCAGAGCAGGGGAAGAAGAGGGGGGAGGAGAAGGGAGGAGAAGAGAAGGGAGGAGGAGGAGGAGGAGGAGGGGGAGGAGGAGGAGGAGGGGAGGAGGAGGGGATGAGGATGGAGGATGAGGAGAAGGAGGATGGAGGAGGAGGAAAAGGAGGAAGAAGAGGAGGAGGAGGAGGAGGAGGAGAGGAAGGAGGAGGAGGAAGGATGGGAGGAGGAGGAGGAGGAGGAGGGGGAGGAGGAGGAGGAGGAGGAGGAGGAGGAGGAGGAGGAGGACACGGGTCGGGCGCCCAGTTTTGAGCTGATCGTGGTCGGGGGCGGGGCGAGAGGGGGGGGGCAGAGTCCTCCTGGAGGGGTTCGGGGGGCCTTCTTTGAAGGCAGCCCCCCCCTCCAACCCCCATGGTGCACGCCGCCGAGCACATCGACGTCCTTCTCCACCTCACCTCCTCCTCCCTCCTCCTCCTCCTGCTCCTCCACCTATTCCTCCTCCTCCACCTCCTCCTCCTCCTCATCCTCCTGCTCGTGCCTCCATTGCTGCAACCTTCCGAGGCTGGTCTCGTGCCGCCATCCCCTCGGAGCGCACGCCGAAACAGGCACATGGCGGAAGGCCAGCCCCAGGGAGTGGTCCGAGAGATCTTGGGGCCATTGTCTCGGACAACCTGAGCCGCCAGTTGTATCTGGGCTCACGCAGTATCGAGTGGGAAGTGCCTAGGTCGAGACTGTTTACACTGCGGCTGGGAGCCCGCATGCGAATCCCATAGGGCCAGCTAAGATAGTCATCGATTTGGGGCATGGGCGGAGGAAACTTCGGCGGGGTCACGGCCAAGCCCTGGCCATATTGCACGGTTACGGCAAGTCCGCGGCCAGTGGCTATCCCTGCCCCTAGCCAGCTCATACCCACACACGCAGCAACCTGAACCAGATACCCACTGCCTGGCGAACCACTAGGACGGAGGTGTCCCCCCCGGTAGTCCTTTTGAGCGTACCTCGTGCAGCGCGGATGTTTCAAGGACCAGACTGGCCAGACTGGTATGCCGCAAGAGATGGGAAGGCCCAGGGAGGCCTTGCCACACGTGCGGCCCTCCCACGCACGCGCGCACAAGCAGACCTCGCGGTAGAACCCTTGCTGGGAGAGCCCACAGCGGTGCCCTCCTGCACGCCGCCTCTCCCACCAACCGCGCAGCCGCAGACAAATGCCAGCCCATCTCGCCAAATGATACAGCGTGCCCCTTCCCCCTCCACGACAGAAGGCCCACGAAGAGCCTTGCCCAGCCCGCGTACGCCTCCTCCTCCTCTGCATCCTCTCTCCCCGTCCGTGGGGGCCCAGAGCCACCTGCCACACCTGAAGCAAGCCTCCACTTCTTGAGGAGGAGCAGGAGGAGGAGGAGGACGAGGACGAGGAGGAGGAGGAGGAGAAGGAGGAGGAGGAGGAGGAAGAGGAGGAGGAGGAGGAAGAAGGTCGAACACCCCAGCTGCTGCTGAGAAGGGAAGCTCCTCCCGAGTCGCAAGGCCCGCCTGTGTGTGCCGCCTGTAGCCGACAACCCCAGATCGCTGCCCCAGGCAGGCCCCAGCCAGCAGTGCTCTGCCACAGCCGGGACCCACCCAGGCGCTCTCGGGCAGGCGAGGGGGAAGAGGAGGGAGGCGAGAGGAGAGGAGGACGAGGAGGAAGAGGAGAAGGAGGCGGAGGCGGAGGCGGAGGAGGAGGAGGAGGAGGAGGAGGAGGAGGAGGAGGAGGAGGAGGAGGAGGAGGAGGAGAGAGAGGAGAAGGAGAAGGAGGAGGAGGAGGAGGCGGAAAAGAAGGAGGAGCAGGAGGAGGAGGGGGAGGCCCACGACCCGCTCCAAGACGGCCCCCGCGCCTCCTGGGGCCCCCCTGCTGGGCCAGCGCTCCATGCCGCGCACGACTTCTGCTGGCCGCGGAGCGCCCGCGACGGGCGCCCGCGGGAGGCTCTCGTCGGCGGCGCTGGCGGCCGCAGGCGCGTCTGCACAGAGGCCGCAGGCGGGGCGCCCCGGGCTACGGAACGCCAGAAGAGCAGGAAGAGAGGAGGCGGGCGGCCGCGGAGGTGGAAGCGGGGAGGAAAGGCCCGGCCCAGAAGTGCTGGAAACGGGAAGGGTGGGGGGGGGGGGAAGGGAAGGCGACGCGAGGCACCGAAGATTGTCGTGCAACGACGACGACGACGACGAGGACGAGGACGACGATGACGAGGAGGCAGAGGAGGAGGAGGAGAGCGACGACGACCGCGGTCGCAGAGGCAGCAGAAGGGAGGAGGCCCAGCGCGTAGTTCTGGAAACAGAAATCGAGGAGGGGATCGACTGCGGAATTGATTCACCCCAGAACCTAGTTATTCGTCGAAACTATGAACAATATGCGTATGATGTACCGTAGATCTACGAACGTTCCACGCACGTGTTGCACATGCGACGAGGACGCTTGTTTTGGGGTAGCTCCGTAGTCGATCCGTTACTCGAAGGAATGGAGGCCTCCTAGACGGGTTCCGAGTAGATGGGGTCGAAGGATCGCGCCGCATCGCAAATGCATCGGACCCCATCTAGGAGGCCTGGAAGGAAAGGGGGAACGGGAAGGAGCCCCGAAACAAACATTTTGTCGTGCAGCGGCGACAACGACGAGGACGACGACGACGAGGACGACGACGAGGAGGAGGAGGAGGAGGACGACAAGGACGACGAGGACGAGGAGGAGGAGGACGACGACGCGAGAAACCAAATCTTGTCGTACCAGCCGTCTCCCCTCGGTGCCACGCCGCTGCGGCCGCGGAGGCGGAAGGGGGGGGGGGGTGGTAGGCTCGGGCCGCCGAGCGCCGGCGGAACAGGAGCGCCGACACCCGAGGTGGCGGACGACGCCGCCGCCGACGACGCCGAGGACGACGACGACGCCGACGACGACGAGGGCGACGACGACGATGACGACGAGGACGACGACGACGATGACGACGAGGCCGACGACGATGACAACGACGACGACGCCGCCGACGACGCCGCCGACGACGACAACGACGCCGACGACAACGACGACGACGCCGCCGACGACGCCGCCGACGACGACAACGACGCCGACGACGCCGACGACGACGACGAGACCGACGACGACGACGACGACGAGACCGACGACGACGACGACGACGCCGACGACGCCGCCGCCGCCGCCGCCACTGCTGCCGCGCGGCCCCGGGCCTGGGCCTGGCTGCGCTCCAGCGGGGGCCGCTTGGGCACCAGGATGGGCACCTCCTGGCCCGGTGCGAATCCCTGGCGCGCTCGCTGGCTCGTCGTCGTCGTCGTCGCCGCCGCCGTCGCCGTCGCCGTCGCCGTCGCCGCCGCCGCCGTCGACGTCGCCACCGTCGCCGCCGTCGCCGCCGTCGTCGCCGACGTCGAAGCCGTCGTCGTCGCTGTCGTCGTTGCTGTCGTCGTTGCTGTCGTCGTCGACGTCGCCTTCGCCCTCGCCGTCGTCGTCGTCGTCGACGCCGACGACGACGAAGACGGCTACTTACAACGAGTGCCTGCAACGGCGGCGGCTGCGCGGCTGCGACGACGGTCGACGGGGAGGGAGAGGGAGGGGAGAGGGAGACGGAGACGGAGGCGGAGGCGGAGGCGGAGGCGGAGGAGGAGGAGGAGGAGGAGGAGGAGGAGGAGGAGGAGGAGGAGGAGGAGGAGGAAGAGGAGGAGGAGGAGGAGGAGAGAGAAGGAGGAAGGGGGGAAGGACAAGCTAGGGGCGCTCGCGCCATATCCGACATCCTACTCCTCCCATCCATCCTTTCCAATTGCGCTGTTTTTTCTCTCGGTCCGCCGACGGGTGTCATCATAGCGAACCTGGAACTCCTCAAAAAGGACCCCATCGTGCCATGCGCAGTCGGGAAAGGGGAGCTGCCAACGAGGCAACGATACCCAACGAGGCTCCGCAACGCAACCGCAGGGAAGGGGGGTGGCTCCAAGGGCCCTCTCCAGGCGTTCGAATCTCTCTCCTCCCCGCGCAATATAGTGCACCCCCCTCCCCTCTGGCGCTCGAATGCCTCTCCCCCCCGCGAGCCTCATTGAGGATCCCTCCCGGTGCGTAGGCGCTTGCTTGGATCAGAATCTTCGTCCCTCACATGTTGGGAGTTCCCCGATCCAAGCTGGTCCCCCTCCCTCAAGCCCCCAAGCGGGGGGGAGGGGGGGGAGGGGGCGCCGCCATGGGGCAGCAGGGCAGAGATCTCCTCGCCACCTGGCAACGCACGAGAAGCGAAACAATACGACAAGCTACATTCTTCTCGCCACGTGGAAGCGCACCGTGGCGGAAATCAGCGAACTCTACTACACTCGCCAAGTGGCACAACAACGGGGCGGAACTATACCATACGACTCGTCTTGTCACGCGGCAGCGACACGGGCTTGAAACACATACTGCTATATAGTTTTTTTGTACTCGCCGAGTGGCACCAGAAAGGCGCCCAAAACGCATATTCTACTTTACTCGTCACGTGACAACGGAGGGGGGCAGAAACACACACCATGCGATTCTAGTCGGCACGTGGCAACGTCCGAGAGACGAAGCGACACGGTACGATTCTACTCACCACGTGGCAGCGCAGCAGGGCGGAGCGCAAACAGGTCTGTTGAACTTGCCAACTGGTGACGCAGCGGGGCGGGGAACATACCATCCCACTCGAATCGTCTGACGGCAACGCCTGGGAGGGCGAAACTTTTTGGTCTGCGGGTCGAAAGCGGGCCTCTTCCGGTTACGAGCTAGGCGGGGCGCGCAAAACACTAATTGGGGAGACAGGGCGCGGGCGGGCGGGGGTCCGGAGGGCGCGGGGTGCAGGCGGTGCCGAAGCGCATGCACAGGAAAAGGTACGCCTTGGACAGGAGCCGGAGGCGAAGTCCCGGGGGGCGAAACACATACCATTCAATTGTGCTCTGCGCTCCGCGGGAAGACGGGGCAGGCCGAGGGCGTTGACGCCTGGGGCCCTGGGGGGGAGGAGCGCGTTGCGCCGCAGCGTGGCGAGCCAGAACCGGCGGCGCGGCACGTGACGCCGCAGTTCCTGACCGCATGTGCCCCAAGCGAAAGAAGCTGCACGGCGGAGAGCCCAAGCACGACACCAGTGCTAACGGTGGTCGACCAGCGTGCAGCGTTCGTTCGCCGATGCCCAGAAATGTGCAGTGCCCGCACGCCCCTCCAACGCCAGGGCGGCTCCGAGCCCCCGTGCCAGCTGCAACCTGATGGGGCTGTGCGCATGTCCGCGGAGCCGAGTGCGACGTCAGAGCACGGCCCGACCGAGCTGCGCGACTGTTTTTTGCTGCCGGGCCGAGCTTGACTACACGCGGCGAGCCGAGAGAGCTTCGTGCGCTTCGACAGAGGCCTCGCGAGGGAGCTCCGAGCAGATGGGGCCGGAGGAACGCGCCGCATTGAGAACTGGATCGGCGATGCATCGGCGATGCATCGGCGACGTCGGCGGTGCACCGGTGCCGCGACAAATCGGGCTCCGCATCGAGCCGCATCGCCGATGCATCGGCGATGCGGCGCCGATCCTTCGGCCCCATCCACTCCAACAAACAAAACATGGGACGCCTCGATGTGGGCCCTGCCTTGGGAGCACGGCCCGACAAGCTCAGCAGGCCTGCAGCTCTCGCTCTGGAGGGGGGGGGGGGGGGGGCGGGCCCCGCGGCCGAGGCGGCGCGGACGAAGCTGGAGTTGGGTGAGGTCGACGTCCTACCTTTCGCTGCCCCGACACGCAGCACGCAGCACGCAGCGTGTTGGCAGGGACACGCACGAGCAGGTCTAGCGCGAGCACGTGCACGTGCACGTACACGAGCGGCTCGTGCACGTCACGTACACGTGCACCTGCACGTGCACGAGCAGGTCAACACGCATGCTGAGCACGTGCAGGTCTGGCGCGAGGCCGTCGCCAAAAGGGGGGCCACCGCGTGCCGAGCACCTACGCAGCGTGTTAGCACGGACGTCTTGAGCACGGGACGTGGTGCGTTTCGGAACGGGCGTGTCAAGGCAGTCAGGCAGCCAAGCTCCTGCTGCTCCTGAGCATTCCAGTGGGATCTGTCGGTATCCAAGGCCGTCCACGGCGACGGCGCGAGCGAAAAGCTGCCGAACCGGCGGCGACAACGACACTCGGCCGAACCTGGGCCCACCGACATCAGCAGAGGCAGACGCGCATGCGCAGCAACGACGGCACAACCGACCGAACCGAATCAACCGAAGCAGCCACTGCGACGCGGCAGACCCGACTGCGGACACCTGTGGCATCCTGGAATCTGACTGCCGAGAGCACGCCTTCGGAGCGGTACGTACCGACAGCGCCGGACAGGAGCGCTGGTCGAGCGACTGCGCTCTCCCAGCTTGGCAGCCGGCGTTCCCGTTGAGACTCTCAGGAGTTGCTGCGTGCTCAGCCCAGCGGCCTTGCCCTTTGCAAGCGGACGAGTGCTACAACCCTCCTCATAATCAAACGCACGTGTTTGATGCGGGTCGACGCGCGAAACGCGGCCCGCGGGGTCGCGGTCGCCAGTCTCAGCGCGAGCATTGAAAGCTTGGGGTCCCGGGGCGCCGCCACGTCGCGGGAGAAACTTGCTTTTGATTTCGAGGAGCATGCCGCATGGATGCACCATGGAGCATGCCGCCAGACAGCGCACACCGGCTGAGTTGATCGATGTATGCGGAAAAGTACACTCTGCACTCAGCTTGACAGGGAGAAGTGCTCTAGGGGAAGACTTGCCCACATCCACTATCTCACTGACACCACAGAAGGCATGAGTGCGGTCTGAGGTTGCACCAGGGTTCGGCAGAGCGCCCCTGAATCTGTAAGTACGACTGCAGAAACACGTGCAATGAGACGCGACCCTGACCGTTGCGCCGAGCAATGGCTGCCCCGAGGGCGCCAGTCACAGTTTCTAGATACGGTGCCCACTGTGCCCATGAGCGCGGCGAAGGGCGGAGAGGCTTTGAAGTCCAGCCCGGGCGTATGACCCAAGCCAGCATGAACGCGGATGGGCTGCACACTGTCTGGTGAACAGTCCACGACTCAAAAGTATGGACAAGTCAGTGCGGAAGTCGAACTCCGAGGGGCTCTGGGCACTGGGGCTTGGCCCTGGAGCCCACCAGAAGCGCCCATGCGCCATCTGAGTTTTCTTGTTGCAATATCGAGTGTCGCCCCGGCGGCCCCCGCGACACGCTGTGCCCAGCGAGCGGATAGCGCGTCGCTGCGACCCGCGGGGCGGGAGGCCGGGAAACGCTCGGGACGTGGACGCTTGGGGACTGGGACGTTTTTTTTTTTTTTTTTTTTTTTTTTTTTTTTTTTTTTTTTTTTTTTTTTTTTTTTTTTTTTATAAAAAAAAAAAAATATTTTTAATGTTTTTTTCCGTTGGGGACTGGGGACTGGGACGTGATTCGCGTGTCGCACCGAAGCTTGGTGGGCCAGAGCCCGCGGAACGACACGCTACAGTTGGGGCGTTGATCCAAGGAACCCTAAATAAGGAACGAGGCCCCTTTTCCCATAAGTTAAACTCCGATCTTCCATTGAAAACCTCAGGAAAACCCAAGGAGCACTGTAAAACAAATAGGGAACACGGAGCCCCTCCCAAACGAAAAGGGTTCCTTCTCCAGCGCCCCGATTGTATGCTAAGGTTCTTGGCCGTATGTGTCTGGTCAGACTGGGAGGCGGGCGAGAGAGGGCCAAGACAGGCCTCGGGAATCACGACGTCGTGCTTCCTGTTCTCGAAAACGAAGGACACCATCCTGCTCTCCGCCATGCCCGTCGGCACCACCACCTGGGAAGCAAAGGCGGGAGGGGCGATAAAGTTTCGGACGAATGAAAGCCACAATAGTCCTCTCCCGTGCTGCATGCTTCTCAACGGGTCTGCAGGTGGGGGAACATACACTCTCTTCCGGCTGAAACGACAAACCCGCTTCATGGTGTTATCCTGCCCTATTCATCGTTATCCTCCCCCTCCCCGGTATCAACGTCCTCCTCATCTAGCTTCTCAAGACCCAGCACGTGATCATCTATAAGGGGCAGCAGGAGGATTCCTCGTCCTGTTCCTGCTTCCACTTCCCTCCTTCTCCTCCGCGTTATCCCTAGAATCCCCCTGCGATCGCCTAGACCCCATCAGACATTTGTAAAACACAGTGAGGGCACGTTCAGAAATCCTGCGGTCAGAAGTAGAACGGGAACACTGGCTGGCCACTTGTGGACTTTGCAGGGGGTGCGCATCAATCCAGTAGGTGCCCTCGTCGGGGGGGTACGAAACATTCGTGGGGCACCTGCTGACAGGATGGTTTCTTTGTCCTCCTTTTCCTCCGCCTCCTCCTCCTCCTCCTCGTCCTCCTCCTCCCCTTGTCCCCCTTCTCCTCGTCCGTGCAACGCAAAGCAAATCGCGACGACCAGCTGTTCCCCATTGGTCAAAAGGAGGGAGGGGGGGAGGGGAGGCTTTCTGGGCTCGGTTCTGAGGTGTTCAAAAGTTTCCAAAGGGTTAGTCTCCCCACTCCTCCACCGCGTTCGTTTCCTCGTCCTCCTCCTCCTCCTCCTCCTCCTCCTCCTCCTCCTCCTCCATACCTTTTCTTTGTAAGCAAGAGGCACGTGTGCCAAAGATCATACAATCACGCGTGCGGAAGCACAGGGGGATGACGATAACGCCGAGCTCTGGCAGCAACAGGCAAGTGCGCGTGTGTTGCGACGCGCGGGTGGGCGAACCATCACGAGCCAGGGGGGAATTGCAGCATGGCTCTTTAAATTGCGCACACGGTTTCGGTCTCAAGGCGATCTCGGTATGAAGGGCGAGGCCTGTAGGGTTTCGGCGGCACGAAATGCGAACCACTAGGGGGAAAACGATCGCAGACGTGGTAGCTATAAAAAGAAAACGTCATCACAACGCCGTCGACGAATCCACCGTCACCCAATGCTGGTAAGTGGGCGCATTGCGCCGCGCGCAGGCGCTGCATCGCAGAATGGGGGGGCAAGGCATGGCGATGAAGCGTCTGAGGGAAACGGGCGGAGGGAGTGGGGGAGGGGAAAGATGCAGGGAGGAGGGGAGGAGGAGCGACGGGGGGAGGAAGGGCGAAGAGGGAGGAAGGACACCAGCATTGGAAACGGTCGACTCGTCGCGGGGTGGAGAGAGCGGTGGGGGAGCGGTGGGGCGCCAGTTGGTAGGACGGTAGGGGAGGCGCCAGGTGGGCCGCACGGTCGGACGATCGGAGTACTTCTCCAAGGGGGGCGCCAGGAGCGGGAGGGTGCCAGACGGTGGGACAGTCGGAAGAAGCCTCGAAGGGAAGCTCAGAATAATCGGGGAGACGTAAGACTCGGGTACGCGGAACTCGGGTTGGCCCGACGGGGCCATTCTAAAAATGACGAGGCCCAATCTGAAATTTGACGCGAACTCCCGCTGCAGACATCCCACGAAAACTGGACCGTCAAAATCCAGGACGCGCTCGTCAAAAAAACGTCGGCAAACCCGAATTCCGGCTTACTCGGGTCTTGCGTTCCCCCGAAATAAGCCGCCAGGAGGGCGCCAGGTGAGCGCCGGCGGTCGGACAAGTCCTCCAGAGGGGGGCGCCGTGGTAGCAGGGGTGCGCTGGACGATCGGACGGTCGGAATAAGCCTCTAGGGGTGCGCTGGGGAAGAGAAGGGGATGCCGAACGGTCGGGCGTTTGGAATCCGCCTCCACACACAGGTGCGACAGTTTTCTTACAGGTCGAATGCGCCAGTTCCAACGCGAACCGCATGACTGATCGAGGCGGTCTCCCAGGCGGCGGCATAATTCCCGTGCCCTTGACGGCAATTCGCTGCAAAAGCCCTCCACGTCGTAGGTGCCGTTGACGTGCGCTGCGCATGCCTCCGGGCGGACCGGGTACGCTTCCGCGGTCTCCTCCCAACACCGCTTCGGGAGTGTCTTCCTCAGCTTCTCCCGCGCACACGACAAAACCGTTTCGCGCGACATGACCTCCTGCAGAGCTGGCCTGCAACAGCGGAACCATTTTGGAATCGAAGTGGACCCGAGCAAGAATCTTGGAAACTCATATGCGATTCGTTGACCCGCAGCGTCGGAGCCATCGTGGGACCAAACTGGAAACACGCAGGAGCCGTGTGAATTCACCAGGTGTCGTAAAATTTGAAACGCCGGAACCGTCGCGGCACCACGGCGGAGCCGCCGCCTTCGAACGCCGGGCCCCATCCGACGACAAGCATTGACGAGAGCGGGCTCGCCGGCTCTCCCCTTCTCAAGAGAAACAAGAAGCGGTCCGCGGCCCATCCGCGCCGCTCCGCCCGGATCGGGGGAAGGGGGGGGACCTTTTTGGTTCCTGCTACAAGAGAACCGCCCGGACCCGAGCACCCTCTGCAAGTACAGTCAAAAGCCATAATACGGACGCGCGGCAAGGACGCAAGACCCTTGGCAACCGAAGCTGGGATTTGCTGGGCGGCGGACGGCGAAAACCTCAAGGACGCAAGAGCAAGGAAAAGCAATCACGCAAGGGTACCCTGAGCAAAGTCGCGCGTCCCTATTCGGGCTCTTGACTGCAATCGGAAGCAGCGGGCGGCGGCAGAACAAAAACAAAAACTTTGGGCTCCTGGCTCGGCGCGCCGCGGCCCCGCTTGCGCTCGGAGCTGGGCCCCGCCGGGGCCAGTGGCGCGGCGCGCGGCGCGCGCAGCGCGGCGGAGGTTCGAGCCGAGCGGGCCGCGCCCGAAGCGGGGGAAGCGTCGAGGGGCACCTCCCACGAAAGGCTGGCCCCACCAAGGGAAGAGGCTGAACGGCGATCTGGGGTGAAGCGGGCAGGCCTGGCGGCCGCGCTTACTTGGCGCAGCGCTGGCCCGCGTTTCATCGCTTTCAGATGGCCCGGCAATGCGCTTCGTGCTCTCGGCGGTGATGGTGACAGTGATGAGGATGCTGATGCTGAGTGTGCTGATGATGGTGGTGATGATGATGCTGACGACACAGATGATTCATCGCCCACTCCGGCTCGGGTGCACACTGTCCTGACACGCCACTTCGACCTGGCACGCCACTTCGATCAGTCGAGCGCCCGCGGCACATGCATCCACTTTTCATAGTCTGGCCCGTCGAGCCCCAGCGGCTGCGGCGCGCCCGCGCCGACGACATGACAAGCACGCTCAAACCTTCGTGATCGGCGGGCAGGTCGTAATACTTATCTTTCACCGCGTATTTGGCGCTCAAACACCGCTTCAGGATGCCCCACTTGTTCTCGATGGCGTTGGCGGTGAAGCCTTTGGCGTGCACAGTCTCACCATTCTCGTGGTTCACCACCTCGTGGCGCAAGTTGATCTGCGTGAGTTCCTTGGCGGAGTAACGCTGAATGAACTCTGACGTAACCCGCCCGCCCACCATGAGGTCGGATCGCCCAGGTGGCTGCGGCCGATGCGCGGCCGATGCGCGGCCGATGTCAGAGCGGCAAGCCGCGGCACCAGAACGCTGGCCAGGACGGAAGGCGTCGCCGGCGGCCCGGACAGAAGTGAGGCGACGTTGGGCGGCGGCGAGGCGGCTGTGCCCCGCCCGGCACTGTTGCTCGAGGGCACTCAACCGATGTGGCGCGGCGCGGGAGCGGCCGCTCCTTTCGAGGGGAACGAAAGAGGGGGATAGCAAAGGGTAGGGTAGAGAATCAGGTCACGTAGCTGATTTTCCCAGCACCTCCCGGCGCCGGGAGGCGCCCATGTATCGAGGAATGGGCCCTGCGGCGGGGCCGAAACCAGCTACATGCAGCAGATTTCGTAACTCCCCCTTTCCCTATCCCCCCTTTTCGTTCGGCCCGATTCTTCCTCCCCGAATGACGGCCTGGTTGCCGACGAGTGCGTGCACTGGTCGTTCGGCGGTGGCGACCAGGTGGAGCAGCGGTAATGTTTCAGCGTACCAGGCGGTCTGGGACATGCCATAGACACGGCCCGCGCACTTGAGCCTATAGGCCTGGGGCCGAAGAAGATCCCACAGGCCGAACGGGCAAGAAAGCGCGGGGCCTGGTTGGATCACGTTCCATCTGTGGCAACGTAGACCCCCCTCGCGCCGGTGGCCTGGTCGTTGTACTCATGGTGCACGAGCGGATCGTCACCTGCTTGGGCCGTTCTTGGGATGGGCTGCGGTTGGGATCCCTGGGGAGTCCGGCCTGGAGGTCATGCAGGCGTGGATCTTCTGCCACGACGACGCTGCGGCGCGGCGGGAGTGAGGGGACAGAGCGCTCCACAGCTCGTCGGTGAGCATAAACGTCAAGGACCAGCGCTAGTGGTTCCAGCAGTGGCAGCGCCACACGGCGTGTTCCTGCGCTTCCTCGTCTTCGTCACAATAGCGGCAGACTGGGGAGACGTCAGCTGAGACGCCGGCCACGACGGTCCGCTGCTGGGTGTGGTTCCCGCCACAGAGGTCATTGAAAAAGAAGCCCCGCTGTCAAGGGGTGCAGCAGGCCTTCCCCTAGGCGCGTGCCAGCCAGGTCGCGGCGTAAAAGTCGACCCCTTGGGGGTATTGCCGCAGGGAGCCAAAGTCGTGCCTGATTTGGGGAATGTATCTCACCAAAGCACGTCTCTGCGACGTCCTTGGTAGGTGCGCGAAAGTTCCCGCAAGGGCGTCTAGCCGACACATCTCGGCGCCCCAATCGTCCCGCATGCGGCGGAATCGCGGCCAAGTCCAGTCGAGTTGGACGACAGTCTGCCAGCGGCGCCCGTATGGGCCCACCTCTTTGCTGGGTTTGGACGGCGTGGTAGCGACATGTCCCCTAGCCGCCAAAACACTCGGCGCGCAGGTCGAGCACGTGCCCGGAGACGCACACGGCGAGCATCGCGTCGAAAGACATCCACGCTTGCCAACGCGGTCTGAGGGCAGCGAAGGGGGCTTTGTCGAAGTCGGCCCGTCGTCTCTCTCTCTCTCTCTAGAGGGTTCTGCGCGCTGGCGCCAGCGATGCAGACACGACCGTTCAGTCTTAGACTTTCCTTCCATGCCCTCGGGTAGTCGGGCAAAACGTGGTAGAGAATAGGGAGAGAGAGCGAGTTAAACAAGCAAGGTAAGACAACAAACACAGATAATTGAAGAGACAGAGAGAGAGAGATGCGAGAAGCGAGAGGCGAGAGACGAGGTGAGACAGAGAGGAAGACAGAGAGAGGGAGAGAACATCATATACACACACATATATAAACGGATAACATACATGCCATATACCTGCACATCAATATGCACATGTGTCACGCATGTGTAAACATGTGACAGAGAAGTAGGCAAATAGGAATAGAGACATGGCATAACACGTGACATACATATATTACTACATAGAGAGAGAGGGAGAACGCGATTCATATATATATATATATACACATGAGAGAGGGAGAGAGAACAAACAAAGAGGGAGGGAGAGAGGGAGAGAGGGATGAAAGAAGTAGGAACTGGGAAGAAACGTGGGGGGGTGGGAGGGCACGGAAGAGGGCAGGAGGAGACGGGACAGGGGGTGGGGCACGAGAGGGGGGGGGAAATTGACGAGGCGGAAAAGGAGTGAGGGAGGCTGTGGTGGGGTGGGGGCTGGGAGGGGCCTCCCCATCCCCCCCCTCCCCCTCCTTCTCGTCCGCCTCCGCCGCCGCTTCCTCCTCCTCCTCCGCCTCCCCGCCACTCCCTCCCTCCTCCTCTTCCCATCAGGCCGTCCCTCCCTCCTCGTCCTCCTCCTCCCTCCCTCCCTCCCTCCCTCCCCCTCATTCCTCCCTCCCTCCCTCCCTCGATCCATTCCACCTCCCTCCCCCTTCCATTCCACGTCCTTCCTTCTTCCTCGTGCATTCCCCTGCCTACCCTCCTGCTGTTCTGTTCTCCTCCTCCTCCTCCTCCTCCTCCTCCTCCTCCTCCTCCTCCTCGTTATCCCCCTCCTCCTCAGACGCTGTTCCAACAGATCCCGCGGTGGCCATGACGTGTCTCTGGAGCTCGCCCCGCTCGAGGTGGTGCAGAAGGGTGCTGGGGCGCGGCATGCCCTCCTGGGACTCGGGGGGATGAAGGAGAGCAAGAGAGAGGGAACATGATACATAAGTATATATATACACTTATATAGAGATAGGGGAGAAAGAGAGAGAGATAGACAAAGCAAGGAAACATGCTATGAAGGAGAGGGAGAGGAAGCCTGCATAAGAATATGGAGCAAGCTCCCTCGCAGCCAGCGAAGCCCATACACTTCAGTTGAAGGGGGGGTTGCAATAAGCCCCATGGGTCTGCATAAGGCTGGCCTACCTACTGCGCTCCGAGCGGGAAAGAGTACACCGCTTCTTTTATGGCAGCCGCCCATGCCTCAAACAGTGCATGCTCCATCTCGAGGCGCAAGAAGGAGCACAATCAGACTGTAGGTACAACGGTGATATGAATTCATCAATGTCTGTAGCGGACCTGTGCCTCAACCTGTTTTCTTGAGACCACAATGGTTTCCCAAACTCGCCACATAAGCAGGACCGCAAGGCCCAGCAACCCTAACAACTTATCACCACTGCTGTACCACTTGCAACACGTGCACCAGAAAACGTGAGAGGAGTCGGAGCACGGGAGCGCGATAACCCTGTGCCCAAAGCTCTCGAGCACGTCACTGTCCAACTTGGAATGGCCGCAACATTCGCTCCGGAGCGGCGCGGATGTCGCTCTGGGGCCCACCACGCCCGACCCTGCTGCTCCAGAGCGAACCTATCTTCTCCCACGAGCAGCTGACCTGAAGCCCGAACTGGTGAGGAATCGGCCGAGGCTTCGACCTCCCCGCCTCACGGACCTCGCTTCCAGCCACCGCTCGAAGAAGAGAAAACGCCACAAACATAAACCTTTGGCGCTCCGCGCGGCTCTTATGGATCTGCGCAGGACCCCCTCCCTGGCGCGCGAGGCGCGCCAGGGGCGGCGCCGGAGGAGCCGCCAGGGGGGCCCGGCGCGGATACAAGAAATCCGCGAGGAGCGCCAAAAGTTTATGTTTATGGCGTTTTTTTGTTTCTCTCGAACCGTGGCAGAGGCTCCCACCTCCCGCCTGCCGGACGTGCTTGGCCATCGCAGCGCGTCGAGCACGGGCTGGAAGATCGATCGGCGCCAAGGCGGGGCGAGCGTCCCCGCCGTCCCGCCGTTCTATAGGCAACACGGTCAGCGCGAGCAGATCCCAAGCGACGGAAGCGCTCGATCGGACTGGTTCCCTCTTCGCCGGTACTTTTATGCACATCGCCCTTCGGGAACGACTCGTAGGAAACTCCCGACATGGTGACGGGCCTGGATCACTTGCCCCGAGCACTGACGTTTCGCACTCAGAGCATCTGGTCCGAAGGCCTGGTGCTCAACCACACTCAGATTGGCAGCGAGAGCGGCCTTCAGCAGAAAGGCCAGTCCGAGCCAGGGCCCCGAACTCCGAACCCTGAGGGGGCTGGGGCCACGGAGCCCAAATGAGGGCCTCTGGGCGCGCCCATGAGTTCACCACTTCTCAATACCCGGCCAGCCGAAGCCGGTCTAGACAGCGGCGCGGGTCGCCCATGGACAGGTGCCCCCTAGAAACCGCCCCAAAGACTGCCATCCCAGCCCCAGAATTGTCTGAAGCGGGAAACTCAGCGGCATGCCAAGGCAGCGTCGCTCCTCGGGGCAACGCAGTGTCTATTGCATGGCGGAAAGCACCGAACAGAAAAAGATGCCGATCATGCTCAGGGTCGTTCGCGTCGGGAACAGAACGTCCCTGGCCTGACCAGGCGGGCTACAAGCGTCCGAGATCGCGCGACCGGCGCCCGCCACGCACGCCCGAGCACGGATCATGCCCATAGTCTGGCTCGACGACTCTTGAAAGGATGGCGCATTCCTAACAACGCCCCGACGACACCGATCGCCGGTGCCATAGTCATCGCCCGACCCACCCCAGAACGCAGCTCAGCAGGCATGCGGGGGGGCAGGGCGAGGGAGACCTCCCGACCAAAAGCCGTCAGTGACAACAAAGAGATGGGCCGCCAGTGGGGAAACCAGAAGATACCGATACCGCGACTCCCGGGACCTCTCCCAGGGTGCGTTCTGACCAGGATCTCGAAGTGAATCCAGCGGTGGCGACGAGGGTTTCCGAGGAAGCGCAAAAAGGCGAAGACAGGGCGAGGGCAGAGCTTAGTGGTTCGGGTACCTTCTCCACCTCCGAGAAGAGGGGGTGGGGGCACGGAAGCACAGCAGAGGAGGACCAGAGCGCACGCTCACCAGCGGGAGGGCTGCAGCACGGGGCTGCCACGCCGCGAGCCCTGCTTTTTCTCCAGTACTTCCTCCGTCTCCTCCCCCGACGCATGGGGCCGCAGGCCCACCGAAGGTCCCACTGGTGGTGTTCGCATGCGTTTCCCCCACCCAATACAACCATGCGTGGCCCCATATGGGGGCTTCACCGAACGCCCCACGTGCGGTATTCGCATGCGCTTCTCCCACGCAGTACAGCGCTTCGTGGCTGCATGGGGAGCGTCACCGAAAGCCCCCTGGCGGTGTTCGCATGCGTTTCCCCCACGCTGTACAGCGCTTCGTGGCCCCACCGAAGAAGGCCCCACTGGCGGTGTTCGCATGCGTTTCCCCCGCCCAGTACAGCGCTTCGTGGCCCCATAAGGAAGCTCCACCGAAGGCCCCAGTGGCGGTGTTCGCATGCGTTTCCCCCACCCTACACAGCGCTTCGTAACCCCATATACGGGCACCACAGACGGCTCCAGTGGCGGTGTTCGCATGCGCTTCTCCAACCCAGTACAGCGCTTCGTGGCCCCATGGGGAGCTCCACCGAAGGCCCCAGTGGCGGGGTTCGCATGCGTTTCCCCGACGCATCACAAAGCTTCGTGGCCGCATGCGACGCTTCCACTGAAGGCCCCACTGATGGTGCTCGCATGCGTTTCCCCCGCCCAGTACAGCGCTTCGTAGCCCCATGGAAAGAGAAAGAGAAAGAGAGAGAGAGAGAAAGCTCCATCGAAGGCACCAATGGCGGTGGTCGCGTGCGTTTCCCCGACGCATCACAACGCTTCGTGGCTCCATACGGGGTTCCACCGAACGCCCCAGTGGCGTTGTTCGCATGAGTTTCCCCCACCCAATACACTGCTTCGTGGCCCCATGGGGGGCTCCACCGGAGGCCCCACTAGCTGTGTTCGCATGCGTTTCCCTCACGCAACACAGCGCTTCGTGGCCCCATGGAGAGCTGCACCGAAGGCCCCAGTGGCGGTGCTCGCATGCACTTCCCTCACGCAGTACAGCGCTTCGTGGCCCCACATGGGTCCACATGCGTTTTTTTCTGCGCAGTACAGCGCTTCGTGGCCCCATGGAGGGCTGCACCGAAGGCCCCTGTGGCGGTGTTCGCATGCGCTTCCCCAGCGCAGCACAGCGCTTCGTGGCCCCGTGCGGGGTTCCACCGAACGCCCAGGGGCGGTGTCCGCATGCGTTTCCCCCACCCAATACAGCGCTTCGTGGCCCCGTGGGGAGCTCCACCGAAGGCCCCAGTGGCGGTGTTCGCATGCGTTTCCCCCACGCTGTACAACGCTTCGTAACCCCATATACGGGCACCACAGACGGCCCCAGTGGCGGTGTTCGCATGCGCTTCTCCGACTCAGTACAGCGCTTCGTGGCCCCAGTGGCGGTGTTGACATGCGCTACCCCAGCGCAGTGCAGCACGCCGTGGCCCCATATGCGGGCTCCATCGAAGGCCCCACGTGCGGTGTTCGCATGCGTTTCCCCCACCCAGTACAGCGCTTCGTGGCCCCATGGGTTTTCCAACCGAAGGCCCAACAATGGCGGTGTTCGCCCCACGCAGCACAGCGCTTCGTGGCCACGTGTGGAACTCCACCGAACGCCCCACGTGCGGTGCTCGAATGCGCTTCCCCCACCCATTACAACGCCTCGTGGCCCTATGGGGAGCTCCACCGAAGGCCCAACAGTAGCGGTGTTCGCATGCGTCTCCCTCACGCAGTGCAGCTCTCTGTGGCCCCGTATGGGGTTCCATCGAAGACGCCAGGGGCGGTGTTCGCATGCGCTTCCCCCGCCCAGGATAATGTTCCGTGGCCCCATGGCGATCTCCACCGAACGCTCCAGGGCAGTGTTCGCACGCGTTTCCCCCACCGAGTACAACGCTTCGTGCCCCCCTGGGGAGCTCCACCGAAGGCCCCAGTGGCGGCGTTCGCATGCGTTTCCTCCACGAAGTACAGCGTTGCGTGGCCCCATATGGGGGCCCCACCGAAGACGCCAAGGGCGGTGTTCGCATGCGCTCCCCCCACCCAGTACAAAGCTTCGTGGGGTGGGCGAAAATGCCAGATTAGGTTGTCGGGACGCATGCGGGCGATCCCACTGGAGGCTTCGGTAGCCCCCTATGGGGCCACGACGCGCTGTACTAGGTGAGTGAAACTGCCAAGTTGGGCTTTCGGGACGCATGCGGACGGCCCCACTGGGGCCGTCGGTGGGACTCTCTATGGGGCCATTAAGCGCTGTACTGGGTGTGCAGGACGCATGCGGACGGTAGCACTGGGACCTTCGGTGGGCCCCCCTATCGGGGGCCACGAAACGGTGTCCCCATGGGGAGCTCCACTGAGGCCCACACTTGCGGGATTCGCATGCTTTCACCCGACGGAGCACAGCGCTTCGTAGTCCCATATGGGGGGCTTCACTGAAAGCCACAGCGATGGTGTTCGCATGCGTTTGTTTCCGCCCAGTACATCGCTTCGTGACCCCATGGGGAGCTCAACCGAACGCTCCGAGGGCGGTGCTCGCATGCGTTTCCCCCACCGGATACCATGCTTCGTGGCCCCATATGGGGGCTCCACCGAGGGCCCCACGTGCGGTGCTCGCATGCGTTTCCCCTACGCAATACAGCGCTTCGTGGCCCCATGTGAATCTCCACCGAAGGCTCCACTGGCGGTGTTCGCATGCGTCCCCCCCACGCAGCACAGCGCTTCGTGGCCCCCGATGGGGTCTCCACCGAAGGCCCCAGTGGCGGTGTTCGCATGCAGTTCCCACACGCAGTACAGCATTTCGTGGCCCC